AGCCTCTTTTAAAGTCATCATCCATGCAGTCGTTCTTTATCAAGCATCTTTTCCAGACCATGTTAGGTCGAGCTTGTGTTTATCATTGGCATACCTATTGAATAATTCACTCTGCCTACTTCCATCTTTACTCTTCATATTTTCATTTATATATTCATCTACATCAATGCCTGTAATCCGAGTGCCATTATATTTTGGACATCATCTGGATGAATAGTAACTACTTGACCACATAAATTGAATCCTCGGTTGCTAACTTGGTATGTGTCTGCAATGTCCTGTATCATGCCTTTCCTAAGACTAATATTTGGCATTCAATCGGACCCCCAAATCCCATAGCCTCAATAGCGTCAATGTGTGGTTGCGATGCCTTTAAGGCTGCTATGACGTTAAATAGTCTCAGTAGGCGAGTGTGTTACATGCATATCAACTTTCTGCAGCAGCCAGTTGGTGATGATAAGTTGGTAAAATGAATAGGCAACATACACAAGAACTAAAACTGGATAATCGATTACCTTGTTGCTGGTCGATCTCGCTTCCCTGTAGTAGTACTCCTTCTATGATTGCCATCTACATCAGATTTTGTGCATAAGAAATATTTTAGTATAAGCTTCATTCTGACCTCTCAAAAGATTTGAAACTAAGACAAGGCAAGGTGGTTACCGGCTACTCTTACAATTTTGTACTGATGCAGGCATTTTTTTAATTTTGTACTGATTATGGAGAGAAGCATTATGGAGAAAGGCAAAGAGGCAAGTACCAATATACTATCAAAGTGATGTGAACTGAACCATTGCTTATGTTGTAAACTGAAAAAAATTCATGCTTAATAACCTATTAGAACTTGCAGGTACTAGAGGAGGGAAGGCCACAAAAGAAGACTAAAATAATTGGAGATGCTGCTGGAGGTGTGCGTTCCTAGAGCAGGACTCATGGTGATGTTCCTAATGTTATTTCCCAAAGCAGCGTGCTGACCCCTCCTGTTAAGAGAAAAAGAAAGTATATCCCTTGCGTAAACCGCGTTCACTCGGATCGTGTTTATTTTTCCAGGTCCAATCTAGCGCTATGCTAACTGTTTTTTACTGTGTACAATGTAGATGCCGGCATGGTGGGCGTGAGCTACGGCCGGTTGGGGAATGACCTGCCTGACATGGCTTCGGTGGTGCAAGAAACGTGGCGGCGTACTACCCCGCGACGCAGCTATAGTCGCGGAAGTATCGACTGCGCCACGGTGGGTGCAGAAAAGCGTGGCGGCGTACTACCCGGCGACGCGGATCCACGGCGTGGCTGTGGGAATGAGGTGTTCGAGGAGGCCAAGAACCGAAAGCGGGCAGCTCGTCCCGACCATGGCCAACGCACGACGACCGTGGTGAAGCTTGGCCGCATAAAACCCCGTGCTCATTAAACTGAAGGAGGGATGTATCATTCACCTGTACCCATGTTGATCGGAGTACGTGGGGACTGCTCTCCATCTCCTGCCGTGTCCATGGTGCCAGTGCCGATTCCGGGTGATGTTGTCGTTGTTCGCCGGAGAAATCGAGACAGAAATCAAGGATGTAGAGAAAGAGCAACTACGCTGGGAACGTGGCGGCTACGATCCTATAATTACGCGCGGAGATCGTGGCTTCAAACCCCGTTTCCAGTTACCCCCATGTTTGGCAGCCGAGCGGCGCAACTGGGCGCGAGGGCATAGTGGGCCTTGGGCCACGCGCTCGGGCTTGACCGGGGAGTCAGCTATATAACGGGCTAATTGGGCCGGCGCAGCCTGGTAGGGCCCTATTTGTGGTCGAACCTGACCTAGCTGTCGCTGGCCCATGGCACCAATTTTTTTTTGTTGCAAACCATTGATTTTAATTTTTTTTTTGCAAACCATTGTAGTTTGCACGTACTGACTGAGTGGAGTAAAAGGCCTAAAGTGAATGGAAGTGAATCAATCACTCTCATGTCTCGACAGAGTGAACCACTAGCCTTAACAAAAAAAATCAATTACAAAATAAATGGTACTGAACCTACATTCTCGCGGCTCGTTTGATCAGTGGACTGATATACCGTTAACCTAACATGAAAGGAAGTGAACCGATCACTCTTATGTGTCATCCGAGTGCACTTGTAGGTTGAACCGATCACTCTATCCACGTGTATTTTATGTGTGAATCCGAGTTTCTTTATTTTAAGGTCCGGCTTTATATTACAAATCAGTAATGGAGGATACAAAAAAAATTCAATTACAAAATAAATGGTTTGAAAAAAAGGTTTTCAAGAGGGACTTCAATTGCAAAATGGATGGTTTGAAAAAAAATTGTGCTAAGGGCCAGGCAACGGCTAGGTCAATCACTCTCATGTCTCGACAGAGTGAACCACTAGCCTTAACATGATACAAATTAATCCGTCACTATCACGTGTCGTCCGAGTGGACTAACAGGCTAATAGCACGATAACAAAGTCAACCGATCACTCTCATGTCTCCTCTGAGTAGCTAGACTAGTGCTCGTAGGACGACAAGTACTGAACCTACATTCTTGTAGCTCGTTTGATCAGTGTACTGATAGACTGTTAACCTAACATGATAGGAAGTGAACCGATCACTCTTATGTGTCATCCGAGTGCACTTATAGGTTGAACCGATCACTCTATCCACGTGTTTTTTATGTGTGAATCCGAGTTTCTTTATTTTAAGGTCCGGCTTTATATTACAAATCAGTACTGGAAGATACAAAAAAAAATTCAATTACAAAATAAATGGTTTGAAAAAAAAGGTTTTCAAGAGGGACTTCAATTGCAAAATGGATGGTTTGAAGAAAAAAATTGTGCTAAGGGGCAGGCAACGGCTAGGTCAATCACTCTCATGTCTCGACAGAGTGAACCACTAGCCTTAACATGATACAAACTAATCCGTCAATATCACGTGTCGTCCGAGTGGACTAACAGACTAATAGAACGATAACAAAGTCAACCGATCACTCTCATGTCTCCTCTGAGTAGCTAGACTAGTGCTCGTAGGATGACAAGTACTGAACCTACATTCTCGCGGCTCGTTTGATCAGTGGACTGATAGACCGTTAACCTAACATGATAGGAAGTGAACCGATCACTCTGATGTGTCATCCGAGTGCACTTGTAGGTTGAACCGATCACTCTATCCACGTGTTTTTTATGTGTGAATCCGAGTTTCTTTATTTTAAGGTCCGGCTTTATATTACAAATCAGTAATGGAGGATACAAAAAAAATTCAATTACAAAATAAATGGTTTGAAAAAAAAAGGTTTTCAAGAGGGACTTCAATTGCAAAATGGATGGTTTGAAAAAAAATTGGTGCTAAGGGCCAGCCACGGCTAGGTCAAGCTCAACCTCCAAGGGAGCCCAACCAGTGCTCGACCTCCGAGGGAGCCCAACCAGCAGCGCCCGCCCAATTAGCACAGTAACAAGCGCTTAAGAGCATAGGCGGTGTAGTGCAGTGTGTTCGAATCGCTAGTTTGCTTTCGCTTTTAAGTCATGCTTTTAAATGATATGCAAGCGAGGTGGGACTAAACCAGGGCATGTAGGCGACTTCCTTCTCCACCGCTCTCGACTCCCCTCTATTTTCGTTACAGGCCACAGCCCACCCACTACGCCCAAAGAAACCAACCGCAGCCCCCAAAGAACAACAGCCAAGCCCCAACAACAACGAGCGACGGCCCAATACTGCGCCCGCTACTGTCGGCCGCCTTGCAGGGCCCGCGTGTCAGCGGCTTCACGCACCATGTCGCCTCCTTCCCTGGAGACGAACACAGAGCGGCAACTTCTCCCCAACTCCCGGCGATATGCCTCTGGGCCAAAGCCAACTACCCCTCCCCTCCATCGAACGTGCCCCGCTACGCCGCATCAACCGGGCATAGCCACCGCCGCTCGATCCCCTCGATCGTGGCCCCCGAGGTTCCCCGCGCCCGCCCCTATAAACAGTATGCCCAGAGCACCGCGCCGCCACCTTAGAACCCTAAAGGGGCCGCTCGGAGCCGTAGCCTTAGCCCTAGCCCTAGCCCGCCGCCGGGCGGAGCTCGACACGCCGCCGCCCGCGATCTCCGCCTTCACCGCGTCGCGCCGCCACATCCACGCCGTCTAGAGATGAATCCGGAAAATCATCGGTGAAAAAGAAGATGAAGACGGGAAAATCCACGGCTCAAGAAGAGCGCCGAAAGGTGCTTGGCCCCGATCTGCGTGAATCTGCGTGAATGGAGTCTCTCCATGCCTCTCCCCGAGAGGGAGAGACGGCTTCAAATTGCCGCAATCTGAACTCGAATCACGGTCGTCGCAATGCTTGCGTGAACGGAGGATGTGATCTTCCTATCAAAAGGCCCGTGTCACCCAACGAGGTATGTCTGTGGAATGACGAATTTTTAGAGATCCGTTTGTAGTTGAATTGGAAACACCTATGCTGTTTGTTTCTATGCAATCGAGTCCATAGCTCATGCATGCATATTTCTATGCAATTTTTTCAAGTGCTAATGAGTGTTTGGTCCGGTTCCACGAGGGATAGATGCATTGGCTCTTTTATATGATCCATTATATTTCGGTGTGCAATCATGAATTCTGCCCCACGACGGCCGATGCAATAAGTATCTGTGCATAGAATCGCAAGAACAATGTCTCTCCGTGCCTAAATCTCGCTCGGTGGCATCGACGACCTATTGGCGTGGTCTTTGCAACTGCTTGGAGCCATGAGATCCGTAGATGCTTGAATGGGTGTCGGATCGGAGTGATGAGGAGGACGTGCGGACCACCGGTATCTTCTTGCACGAAAAAGGATTGATCAAAAATTTCGTGGAAGCGGGAAAAAGGCTAAATTTACTATACACCGAATTCCACAATAGGGACAAAACCGTTGTTTTACATCCATTTTATCCATGTTGTGAACTGCTCAAGATAACTGTTCGACCGATGTAATGCATGGTTGATGTGTTATTCTGTTCTAATTCGATTACGTTTGGTTTTTCAGATTGTCAAGAATGGGACACAAACAAACCATGGCTCCCAAAAAGAGAGTAGATGAGGTAAACCCGTGAGCTTAATGAAGTTGACTTTGTGATTATGTGTAATGCTCATTTTGTTGGTCGTAATGCTCGGTTCTAGGTTGTAAGTGAAGCGAGAGAAAGTGAAAGCTTGGTTGGAGGAGAAGGAAAACCTGCAGGAAAAGTATACCTTCGAGTCAGCTTGCTTTTTTTATTGTCTTGTAAAGGTGGCTAACTCCCCGTTGAAAATTTTGCAGTACCCTATCTATAGCCCACCAGTTTTCATATCTGAAGAAGTTTATGAGAAAGTTCTGGACTTGCAAGATAAGGTTAGTAATTTGGTAGAGCGCCTATATAAAAGTTATGCATACTACTCATGGTAGTAAGTATAATGTGTGCTCTTTCATTGTGCAGGTCTCAAGTGTCAATAGGATTCCAAAACCAAAACCCAAGGTTGAGAAGACAACAGCAAAGGAGGAAGAACCTGCTAGCAAGGAGAAAACCACCTCTTCGGAATCTGCACCCAACGAGGGTGAATACACCGAAACGTCTCAGAATCTAAGAGGATCAGTGCATCATCAGCCAACACTAGCGATTCGAACCTGAATCTCATGACGAGTTGTGAGTACCGAATCCATAGAAACAGGTCGGAAAGATGCATTACGCATATACTACAAGAAGGCAGTTTGAGGATAAATTTTGGTTGCTGAAATTTTCCCGGTTTTTATTTGACGACCAAAAGATGAGGCTACGTAGGGTGTCGAGGAACATTAGATGTCAGAGAGCCAAAAAGATTTCATCGGTAGTTTCGATCATTGTGTAAGTTATTCACCTCAAAGGCGTGAGTTCAGGATCTAGAATCGCATTGTTGTACTGAACTCATTTGATGTTTTTTAATGAGGAATGCTATATATAGATTTTACGCCAATAGATTTTTACGTCAATACTTGCTATGATATATGATCAGATGTATTTCCGTCGGTGGAGGAATAGAGTTTAATGATAATAACAGAAAAAATCTCTGAGTATCAAGTCCGGTGGTGCGAGAAGTAGGTGCAAATAATCACATGCTCTTCTTGTATTTTAACTTCCTTCCTGTCAAGGTAACACATCTATCTTCAACTTCAATGTTACTTGGATTAAGCACGCGGTTTCAGATTTCAAACGTAATGTAGTGATAAAGAACAGGGATTTTCAGTTTCAAGAAGACCTTGGTATCATTTCACATTTCAGAAACAAACACCACGGCCAGATGATGTTATTTTAACTGAGTGGTGGCTTCAACCTTCGTGCTAAGTGTAAAGCAATACTGCAAAAGGACCCTACCGCAAAGGCTTCAACTCATTAGTAATTTTGGTTGCTTGGTGGTTATGGAAGCACAATAATGGATGCTTCGTGAGGTGACCTCTCCTAATTTCAATGTCATTATGCAAGATACAAGGGATGAGACCATCTTGTGGAGTATGGAAGCTAATACAGCAGATGGCATTTGCATGTATAAGTTGGTGGTCGCTTTCCTTTTTGTTTACTTGGCATGGTCCATGTATTTAACCCCTGCCAATGGGCTTGTATAAGTCTTATACTCTTCTTAGACTCCCTTTCTTCTTATTATTAATATAAAAAGCAAAGATTTCAAAAAAAAAAAAGGTCATGTTTTGATTTTTGACTAAACAACAATCCAAAGTCGGTGAGAGACCATGGATATGCTGTGGGGGGAACAGTTACTTATCCTACAAGTTCGTAAGCCGTTGCTAATTAAAGGATAACATAAGCATCTTGGAGCTCTAACGTTCGCTATCTTTGTAGTCATCTCTCGAGTCGTGAAAAGCGTAGATCAACTACTTCACAAAAGAAGGTCGATGCCATGAAAAAAAGCCTCGGCACAGATTAGCTTTTTACCCTTCAGGTTGCACCACTGCTCCCACCGTTGTCTTCCAATAACTTCTGATCATCAGATTTCTGCTGCTTCTTTGTCAGCTGCATAGCAATCTTCAGCATCGTATTAACGCCAGCCACCAATGCTTCTTTATCATCATTCAGATAGAGACCTGCCGAGTCACTCATGAGGGCACATGCATAGCATACTATATAGGCAGGATCCTGAACATATGTCTTTGAAATACATTTTATTACGAGTTTTCCAGATAGCCTTTTTTACCAAAAGGAAGCCAATGTTCACACTAAACCCAGCATTGTTCCAGAGATCTAGGATCATTGTTAACCCCCAAACTAATGGCAATGATTGCCCAAACTGCTTTTGCAACACTACATTGGAATAAAAGATGATTGGCAGTTTCAGTTTGATTACAGAAGTAGCATGAGGGATCACCCTGCCAATTTCTCTTTATCATGTTGTCCTTAGTCAGAATGGCATTGTTTAAGATCATCCACAGAAAGATTTTAATCTTAGCAGGGATTTTCCCTTTCCACACTTTTTTATGATAGAGACCAAAGATCATTAACAGTTAGAGCATTGTAAACAGATTTAACAAAGAAAATTCCCATGACACACAAATTTCCAGGTAGTTATATCAGCACCTTCACAAAGTTGAACATTGGCAACATCTAAAAGAATTTTCTCCCAATTCACTCTCCATTCATCTACCAGCCACCTAGAGAAAGTTAATGACTGGGGATTGAATTTAACTTGAGATACAGCAATATCAAGCTGTTGACACATGGCAAATAAATCAGGAAAAAGCACACACAAAGGTTGATCATACAGCCAAATATCTTTCCAAAAGAGTGTCTTTTGCCCATTCATGATTTTTAACTTCCTACCTGCAAGTAAATTTTCCTGACCTTGAGTAAGTCAGCCCAAATGGGAGAATCTGACTGTCTGTGTTTCACAGTACAGATAGAATCCTCTTTGATGTATTTAAACTTAACAATCTCTTGCCACATAATAATGTGGCAACTATATAGAAACAATACATAATTATGTGGCAAAATAACAATATATTCTAGCCCTAAAGATGTCCAATATCATACATAAAAATTTAATAGATGATGGTAACTAAAAGTAGATGAAATCAATCTGTGCCTGTGAATGGACGTACCCATTTCATGATTTCTAATACAAATTCACAATAGGATAGCTCAATTTTTCTAACCTTTTCTACATTTTTTTGTCCCTTTGGACCAATTTGATGCAACTGGATCTGGATCAGGGTCGCTGTGCATAATCTCATGGTGGCAGGCTGGCAGCGGCGACGGCGTGGAAGCCTCCCTGTCAAGCAGCGTTGTTACCATGGCGCGCTTGGATCTAGGTTTCATGGCCCCAATCCTCTCCTGCCTCCTCTTGCTCCACCATGGACCGACGCCGAGGCGGGCGCCTGAGCGGAGTCACGGCGAGGAGGAGGCGACGCCGAGAGGATGACGGCGAGGAGGAACAAGGGGTAGGGGTGGCCTGTTGCCTGCACCCGCCTCCCCATCCCATCGGCGGCGGCGGCGCTCATGAGGGCGCAGCGGCGGTGGAAAGCTAGAAGAAGTAAACGACATATTCATTTAACTAACTATACTAATTGTATTATCCATCCTAACTATACTACTCAAAATATTATTTTTGCATTTATAGAGTTACCGTTTTACCCTTTATCAAAAAAAAACTACGAGAATGGAATTACCGCCCAGTCCTAATTCCCACATTTGCGGAGGCAATGGAAGACGATTTTTGCACATATGGCCCACCGATCATAGACATAGCAATCGCCTTCCGTTGCCTCCGTCCCATTGCCTCCCGTTGCCTCCTACCTTTGTTGCCGTCGGATTGGCCGCTCTCGGTCGATGTCAGCCATCGAATTTTTCCCCAATTATTGTAAAAAATTTCATATCAGTTATCACCTTGGCCGGTTCGCTGTTCCATCAAACTAGGTGCTATGGTATAGGAGTATATATATAATGCTAGGCACTAGCCCTGAATCGCCCGGCCAGCTGCAAATTGACATTCACTGTCACACAGCTAGTCGTCCAAAATCCAAACAGCTACATAGATCGACAACATTGTAATTGTGTCCTTCAAGGCATGCCGTAGCGAGCCACAGCTGGTGTCCTTCAAGGCATTGTAAATTGTAATAGTGTCCTTCAACATTGTAATGGTGCCGACGCCACGCGAGACGAAGGTGTCAGCGCCTCCCATCATGGGCCTCCAGTGATGGACAAGGAAGAGAAACCCAGAAGGAGCTCCAGGGCCCGGTCCAGAAGTGTGCGGGTATCTGGCCCGCAGTGGGCTTGTAACATGAGTGGCGTGCAAGGCTGAGACCGTCGAGGGAGGTATAAGAGTAGAGAGTGGAGACGGGAGAGATCAACTATGACTTGAACTCTGTAAACACTTTACATTTCCTAAGAACTCAGTAGTCCTTAGCCTATCTTCTCCTTCCTCTCCAGTTCCGTTTCCCTTGGCCACTACGGTGATCCACCGGGGTGCTGACATATCTGGTATCAAAGCCGACCCGATTCCGGCTCCGCGCTGGATCCGGCACACTCCCACTACACCCGTCTCAACAAGTCCAGGGGAGCCATGGAACCAAACGCCCAGGCCGGCATCAACGAGGTCCTCCGCCGCTTGGACGCCATCGACGAGCGCTGGGAGAAGCGTTTCTCTGATGTGGAGTTTGATCGGGAGCGTCGTGCCGCCGCCAGCGTGAGCCGCTTCGTCAATATGGAAGGGCGCAGTTCGGCGGTGGAGTCTCGCGTCAAGGCTCTTGAGTCGTTCTGCTCTTCCTAGAAGACCGTCAAACAGATCGGTGATGATTGGAGCGGCTACATCCAGCACCGCGTCACGGGATTTGAGGAGCGCGTCAGCGATCTGGAGCTCATCCGCCTGTCTGAGATGTGGGATGAGAGGGACGGTAACGTCTCCGTGCTGGAGGGCGCGCTGGAGGGCTTCCGGCTGGAGGTGGTGCGAGTCGCCAAGCTCTGCGACTAGGCTGCTCCTCAAGGCTCCTCCGACCGCCCCATTCATGAGGTTTCCCCGGAGTTGGATCCCCGGCACCCACCTGCCGGTGCAAGGACCGACTGGCCTGTCGTTGGACACGGTATTGCTTCCTCACCACGGGCGAGGGACTATGGGTCGGTCATGACCATAGTCCCAAACCTGGCCAATGGTACGTACAGGCACCCAGTTCCTGCTTCCAATTTCAATTTCGCACAGCCTGAATCGCATGTTCCTAATGCCAATTTCATTGTTCCTCCTCCAATTCATCCGCCCGATCCACCCAACCCTAATCCCAATCCAAACCCTCCTCACCCGTTCTACCCCCACCACCCTCTCCCTGCCCCTGATCCCCTACCCAATTATCATCCACCCAATCCCCCACCCAATTATCATCCACCCACTCCAGTTTATCACCCACGCAATTTCCATGCTACGTACCCTAATTATCCTCAATATGCCTTACCATCCCCAAGTTCCACTTTCCCTCAGCCTAGTTTCCATTTTCCTCAGCATGGTCCTCCAGGCTTCCATCAGTTTCGTCCTGAATTCTTCCATGCTCCACACTATCGCGGCAAAATTCCTAAGATGAAGTTTCCCCAATTCAATGGAGACAACCCAAAACTGTGGATCTCTCGAGCTAAGACTTACTTTGAGATGTATTTTGTCTCTG